GTGGCTGTCCGGGAAGGGTTATTGATGATGGGATACATGGGTTTTACTCGGTTTACCATTGGTCTTGATTCTCAAGAAGCTGTTTCTATGCTTAAAGATGGTTTGGATTGGTGGAGTAATATTGGTAATGTGGTGGAGGATGTTCGTCGGTTAATGGTTGATCGAGAGGTGGCTGGAGTGTTCTACCAACACCGGCAGGGTAATGGGGTGGCACATAGTCTAGCTCAGCATGGGTTGAGAGTGAGATCTCGCCTTTTTTGGAAAGACCGTGCTCCTCCATGGTTAAGCATTCTTTTAGATAAGGATATAGCTATGGTGTAATTCATTGTTTGTTAATGAGGCCACACTAACGCTCTCCGTTCATTTGTAAACGTTATCATTGGTTGGTGCTACGGTTGAATGAATCTTTCTATTTGATCAAAAAAAAAAAAACTACTAATGATAGAAGCATATGGTCAAGCCTTAAGCACAACCTGGGACTGCGAGCACAACAACTTCATTTCTCTCACGAAAAATATGTGAAAACAGAATGACAACATTTCAGAAACTCATCATAAGAATTCAATATTCTTTTTATTTGATGAGAAACAGAGCAACCGTACATGCACCAATATTACATATCGATGAATTTTGAAACAAAGTTTTGCGATACTTAGTGAAGCAACGTGCACAAATTAATACACAAATTCAAATTTGAACAACCTTAAAGATGAAGGCGATTCATTTCCTAATTATATGTCATACAACAATTTGGAAAATAATTTCATGTGCTCAGATTGCAGACAAAGGATAATTGATATACTCCCATCATTAGTTGTACTTGGTAACAACACCTCCCGTCCAACACAAATGGGCGGCCAGGCCCCATGAAAATGGGTTGACCCCAACCAAAATCAGCATCATGAATCGGCAGCTTGATCCAACTGTTTATCGAAAGATTTGGGCACTGAATCGTTGGAACCCCCGTAACAAGTTGGGGATTACAAGGAAGATGAAGCTCAAGATAGTCAAGGACTGATCGAAGATAATCATCGTCCCTCCGCACCAAAGCACTGCGAACACAGCTTGCAGCATACCAAGCTGGTTTCGATTGGAGATCTCCTGCTGCAGCTATTGGTGTGGTTCTGAAAAGGGCGTTGCCGAAGAAACCAGGTGGGAGTGGGGGTCGCAATCTGTTCCGTCCATCAATTGGAATGAATAGCTTGGTGTCTTGATCATCCGGAAGTTTACGTGCCTTGCAAACACATCTCCAAATATGACATGCCAACATCTCAAATGTTGTATAGTTGACTGTATTAGTATTCTGGCCGTCTCCGGTTTCCTTAGACTTGGCTTTCAAGAGACTGAGCTGCTCCTGCGTGAATCTAAAAAGGGACGTAGTAATATTACTTGTGGTTTGCAGATGCTCATCAGAAGCTGATTTCATTTCTGGAAAAGGATCGTATTCGGTGTGGGGGAATTCAGGCTGAGGCGAGTCACGGGCACGAAGTAATGTCCTGTCCATAAAGGGTGGTGTAATATTTGAGAGATCCCCACGAGCAATACTAGACCATGTATTTACAAAATGGAGACCAGAAACTCCATCTGCAATGCGGTGTTCGATTGCAACACCAAGTGACACTCCACCACATTTGAAGTAGGTCACCTGCATTTGTCAAATGGTGTATAAACTTTACATAAACATTCATTGGATGGCTGAGGGTTTCGAACCTCTACTTCGCATAAAACTTAAACTTAAATGGGCTTTTGATCTACTTACCTGTAACACCAAAATGGGATATGAGGATATGCCCGCAGCATAATCAATGCGGGGGATTAGCGGAAGGAAATTGGGAGAGGGTGCAAAATCGCCGAAATCATCGACGGTAGAGAAGCTCTCCGCTACAACAAAGAGCACTCCCTCCGCATTGCAATCAACCTCCAAACGGCCATTCTGGTCGTTGAGCTTGAGGCGGCCGGCCATAGGGTAGAAGGGCACGAGGGCCTTGATGAGTGCCTGCTTGAGCGCTTCCGGGTCGAAGAAATTGTGCTCATGACCACAGCTTGGTCTGTAAAAATAAACACTGGGCGTGTGAAAGGGCGGGAACACTAGGTCCAAGTTGGAGAGCCATAGGGAGCCCCGAGGTGTCGACTCCTCGGCTGGCTTCACCATGCTCGATTCCCTTATGCTAACTGTCACCTTCTCCCCCATCTCTTCACCTTTTTCTACTTCTTTTTTCTTTAGGTTTTAAGAGGATCACACTCTTCTTCTCCTTTTATAATGGAGAGAAAAGTAGGACCTCTTGGCTTTCTTGTGGTTACAACAGCTTAGAGTTCTCAGAGAGACACCCGCACAGCACAAACCCACGACGTAGATTTAAAACATGCATGCCTATAGCCGTTAGGCTACATCTAACATTCAATAGAGCAGAGGTTTGGTTTCCGAAGACCTCAAAAAGTGATTATTAAATTAATTGCCTTTGATTTCTCCATTTATCTTATATGTTTTTTTTTATGAGTGTGGAAAAAAGTAATGCCGTTTCATAGTCCCAATGCCCCACTAAACCTAATCCCCCATATGCTGCTATTTTTTTAATCATTTTTCTAAGCTTTCAGAAAGCTATAAACCACCAACAGGAGTTGGTCCAAGTGGAGTTGGTCCAAGTGGAAGGGGCTTGGATCCTTTAAACAAGAGGTCTTGGGTTCGATCCCAGGCGCTTGCGAATAGAGCAGACTTTGTTGGGAGAGATTCCCGCTTTGCGCCCGACAGTACCTCGAGGGTTAGCCCCCGCAATCGCGCAGGGGATACCTTGGTTTTCACAAAAAAAAAAAAGCTATAAACCATCTTCTTTCCTCGTAGGAGGTCTTCATGCTCTTCACTGGAAATCAACCAATGGCCCTAAAATATATTAAATTCAATGTTGTCATATACAACATCTTAAAATTTGGGAGTATGTAATTAAAGAAAAGACAATTAAAAAGGAGAAATTTTTTAGATTATGCATACTTGTGGTTGCTTTTTGGGTGGACATAGATTTATGTGTTTCACATGGGTTGGCCTATTATATATGGGTATTTTTTTTCTTTTTGAGAAATACCCTTACTACTATAATAATTATTCGGTGGAAAGCTCACTTTGAAATTTGAATAGCTTTGAATTGTTTGTTTGTTTCTTTTTTGGAATGATTCGGTCATTTTTTTAATAATTCAGACTACGATGCATGAGACATCTCCTTTATGATAATATTAGCAAGAACACCCAACAAAAAGTGAGATCACACACACTCTAATAAAACCACAGGGAACCTCCTTCTTCTTTTCGCCTTTTACTAATCCTGTATTCTGCGTAAGTTCATGTTCATTACTTTCTTCAATTTATACTCATGCATGGCTCATGGCCTGAGAGAGTGAGAACTTGGGGCACGTACTGTTGGATGAACAATACTTTACAATTAATTTAATTTAATAAATAAATAACAACAACAATAAATAAATATAAATATAAATTCCTCTCTCTTTCTCATGCCACTCTCTCTTCTTCACGGCTAGTGGAAGATCCAGGATTCTCGGGCCAAGGGGTCTTAGTATAAAAGTGTCGAAATTTTTCCTACAAAGAAAATAACACAAAAAAAATAGAAAGATAGTGATGATACAAGGCGATTGTGGTCAGTGCTGGTGAAGAGGTAGTGGGGAGGTTGGGGCTCCTAGGGTTGTGAGATATTAATTTGGGGATGTGTTGTGGAGTTGGATAAATGAGAGGGGAGGAGGATGATCTTTTGTTTTTGTTTTTTCAAAAGCATGGCTCAAAAAGACGTAGTTTTGTGGCCAGGTCAATTTAAAAAAATTGAGTGAGCCCTGAACCGAACGACGTAGTTTGGCCAAGTAGTGCTGGGTATCAAAATCGGAAAACCAATATCGAAAACAAACCGTGCCAATCTCATACCATGTTGTTCGGTGTTACATAGTAAATAGTATGATACCATATCATACCATTTTTGTTTAACACGACATTGGTTCCATATTTCTTATCTTGTTTGGTGTCATACTGTATTAAATAGTATCCATCTTCTTTATTTTTATTTTTATTTTTCCTATTCTCAATTTCTTTCCTTTTATTTAATATTTCCCCCTCTTTTTTTACTCTCTCTCTCTCTCTCTCTCTCTCTCTCTCTCTCTATTTATTATTTTCCTTCTTCTTCCTCTCTGTTTCTTTCTTCCCAACCTCCGTCGCCACTCCATCCCCATCTATCTTCACCCTTTTTTTCTATTTTTTTTCCCTTTCTTTCTTCTTCTTCTCTCTGATTTTTTCTTCTCTTCTCTCCCTCCCCATCACTTTCTTTCTCTCCATTACCCACAGGGGACTTTCATCGAGCACCTTGTGTGTACACAAAGGGTCGCTCATGGAGCCCACAACCGTATTTCCGGCATCCTAAGGGGTTGCGCGACCCCTCTTGTCCCAAAGTGCGTCCGCCACTGTTCACGGCCACACACCACCACATACACGACTTTGGCCATCCGGCTCTCTTCGTAAGAGAAAACTCCAACCTTTCTGTTAATTTCGTATCTTCCTAAAGATCATCTAACTGACTTAGGCATCGAAGGACCTTTCGTCAACACCGCCTGGGTATGGTCTGTTGACTATAATCTATTTTACAGGAACCGAGGAAGAAGAAAAAGAAGGAAGCTCAAAGGGTGGAAGATCTCTCACAAATATTCTCCCTCATATCACTATTCCATCCATGAGTATTGAGGTGGGCAGCATTGATCAGAACTGCGACCAGATGAAGGTCAACCTTGACCTGCTTGAGGAAGAAGGAGAAAAGGCCATTGTTCGCATTGCAACTTATAATCAGCAGTTGATGTCCTACTACAACAAAAGAGCCAAAGTTAGACAATTCCAACTTGGGGACCTTGTGCTTAGAAAAAACTTCATTTTAGCACAAAAGCAAGGGGCAAAAAAGATGAAGCCCAGTTGGGAAGACCCTTATAGGAGAAAAAATGGATAGGCATGATATCAAGGAGAAGTTGGTAGATAAGCTAATCGATATACCATTTGTAAAGTTAGAAGAATAGCTGGCAGAGGTCTTAACGCAAGGTTTTTCATGATTCACTTGACAAGTTGGGTATAGGAGATATGTACACACCAACTTGAGGGGGAGTGTTGGCATGAGCCATAATTTAGGGGTCTCATGATCCCTGATTTCGTGAACCATAATTCAAGGGTCCCATGATCCCTTGATTTCCTAGTGTAATTTATGTTACCTAATTAGAATAATTACTTAGTTAGGATTCCTTGTAATTAGCTAATTACTTTTCCTTGTAGGAAAAATCTGTTGAGAGTATTTGTCCCACATTAAAAAGTTAAGGGACCTAGCCTGAGTTTATAAGGAGTTGGGCTACTTCATCTATTGCCAATTGGTTTTGGGGTGGAACCTCAACTTCCTTCATGGTATTAGAGCAAGGCTTCACGTGTTGGGCCCAACGGCCACACGTGCTCTCACGCCACCCAATATGTGTTGTCCACGCGTTATGCTTGAAAGTTCGCCACACATGCGGGGGCGTGTTAAGAATATTTGTCCCACACTGAAAAGTTAAGGGACCTAACTTGGGTTTATAAGGAGTTAGGCTACTTCCCCCATTGCCAATTGATTTTGGGTGGAACCTCAACTTCCTTCAAAATCAACTTGTACTTGTATATATATCATCCTCTTGGAGATATATAATATTAATCACAATTATGCAATCATGTGTTTAGTTTGAGTCTTGTTACTAGCATGCAAGGTGGCATGTCAATGATGATTTGATTCAGACCAATTCCAAATCTCTACACATGGAAAACAAGAATGGTATCATCTTTCACCTAAAGGAATAATCTCATACTAGACTTAAAATTAATAACATATAGGTCTCCACAATAAATATTAAATAAGGAAAAACCATCTTAATAAACCATAAATATGTTTAACATAATAATATATATAGTTAAAAAATAAAAATAAATTAAAAAAAACAGATTCTCACAGTTCGGGCCCCAAAAAATTATTGCCCGGACTGCAAAATGGTCCCATATTTCGCCCCAAAACTTAGCTAGGTTATAATTTGGTACGTGCTTTGGGGGAGTTTTTTTGGGCTAAAATCCTAAATTTTGAGTTTAGCCCCCTCCAATGGCCTTAAGAAGCTAAATGTCAACTCGAACTAAGGTCCTGTTTAGTTCATGAAATGGGTTCTTTTGGAAGAGGCCCTGGGTCATGACGTACATATCAATCTCATCATTTCATATGCTTTGGATTAATTGTGATGATATCAGTATTGTTTGGGGTTCAGTATGCATGACATGATGCATGTCATCTACCTTATTATGTCTATTTTGAACCCCCAAAAAAAAAACCTTATTATGTCTGTCTATATGAAATGAAAACAGAAAAACAAGTAGTTTTTCCATCTCCTCGTGAAATCCCAGCCAAGTCATGAAGTTGAGGTATTCTCCCTATAAAGCTTTCCCCTCTTATCCACGAGTCACTGCTATTACATCATGATCCATTTCTTTAAACAAAAATATCTAAAAAGAAAAGTTCCACCTTCATCAATGTCATAGATTTGCTAACCCCATTTGACCAACCAACTGCCTCTAGCCAAGACTCAAGAGACATCACTTTAGTTATAATCATAAGTTCATAACCCACTTAGCTTAATAGCGGCCACCATTGGTACAAATACAGTTTCAAATAATTCTTTATTTTATTTTATTAAAAATTCGTGTTATAAAAAGATGCTTCTCTTGGAAGAGGGTTTGCCTGCAGAAACGAATTATATAACCTTGAATCTTTCATTTGACATTATTGCCACCCAGCTCTTATTACGTACAATATTTTTTTTTGGACCAAAGGGTGCTTCATTAAAGGCAAGAGCCACAAACAGAAGTTATTACGTACAATATTGTTGAACGATTTCTCTTCTATTTGATGTCTACCAAACCCTTATCATCTTTGTTAGATTTTCTTGAGGCTTAGATACTTTGATCGGTTGTTTGTTGAAGAATATAAAGTCTTACGTCGGAAATTTGACTAAATAATTACAACAGACAATGAGTGGTTCCATTACTAATATCACTGGGGCATTTTGTGATCCCACTCTTACTGGGCTTTGTAGGTGATTAAATTGGGGATAATATCGATTTTGGTAGTAGTGGACTACACTAAATAGTGGAAATTA